TAAAGTTGCAGTGTCACTGTGTCCTGGGTGATCTGTAAGCTTACACTTGCAGACTTCCAGGGAGAACCTTAACCAATACAGGAGAGGAAGTGCTGTGATCTCCTTTGGTATGCAGAGAAGATGGGTGGGTAATTTCACAGGTGTTGCAATAGCTTTCCCACAGAGGTCAAGCAGCTGTCCCGTAGCACAGTGATTCCTCAAGGAGCTGAGGAGGAAGCTATTCTTTGCATTCAGTAGCAACCTCCTTCTCACCTCTTTTCCTTTCTCTTCTCACCAAAAATATCCGAACCAATAACCCAGGATGTAAGTTGGAGACAGAAATCCAGTTTACTTCTGAAGTAAACTGGATTTCTCTAAAAAATAGAGTACTGTTGAGTTTGCCCCTTCGTTTCCATAGCCAAGAGACATGCAGCAAAATCCTGTGAGAAAAGAGCAGTCTCAGGTGTATTTATATTCTGTTTTTTACTCTTTTTGTTTTGTAACTCTTTTTCCAACTTCACAATCAATAACTTGATCCTTTGCTTTGCTAGAATAAACTTGCTTTCTTCTTTAAGCTTTTGTGGTGTAAAGGATAATGAGTGATCAGCACAAAGCATGCTTTTCTTTTCCAGAAACAAGCAGTCTAAATAATACAATGTCATAGAGAAGCTCTTTGGGGATCTGCACCTCACAGTAAGTTTGGGAGTCTTGGTGCACATCTTTTACTGAGCTACAAGTATCATTTTTAGAATCAGAAGTATCCAGTGTCAGGAAACAGAGAAAAAATTCTACGCAGGTATTATCCAGTGCCACTCAATTCCTGAATTCAGGAAGTTGCATATTCACACGTAGCAAGTCCCAAATCTACCTTGTGTTTTTACAAACTGTAGAATGTAATTCATTATTTTTTTATGGGTAATGTCTGTTTCATACGTAATTTGGGAAGGGAGTGTTTGGCATTTTTTTAAGTGCCATTAGTCTGTTGAAAGAACTTGGTATCCTTTGCAGAAGTTAACTCATTTTCTGTTGGTTATTACAATTTACATCTCAACGCTCATTTAAGCTGTCATACAGACAGCATTAGAATAAGGACTTTATCAGTTCAGAACTATTTTTATTATTTTCTTCTGGGGTCTTTTTTAAGCTGTCAGCCCTTAAATCCTCCCTTATAAGTAGGTAATTCTTTTGCTGCCTCCTATGTTCATTCTGTCTGGCAGAAATGAATTATCAGGACAGGGAGAAAGAGCATAAATATCAGTATAGTTGAGCTGTCCTATGAAAAGATAGGTGAAGATTTGTTTTATATATGTAGTATTGATTGATGAAAAACACTGAACTACTGTTTTACTTAAATTGGAGAAATCCTGAGTAAATTCCTTTGAATACAACAGTAAGCATTGGGGCCCTTGTGATGTATTAGATTAGTTTCCATTCTAGTCAAACGGGCTGACTGAGCACGCCTGGGGTAGAGAATATAGACACTGCAAGCTTCATGGAATGCTTATATTTGCACCAAGAGTATTTTTAATCTATGGATTTTGACTGCATAGGAGCAGCAGTGTGCTTCTTAAGGTTGGTATTCATATTGCTTTTTTACAAACAAACTAACCAAACAAGCTGAGAATCCAAAGTGATTTTGCCCAAAATAACTGGCAGAGCTGAGCCTGGAACTACAAGTCCTGACTTTGATTCTGTGCTCAGGCCACTATCAGGTTTTGCCATTTGTTTCAACACATGCAGGTGATGAGAAGGATAATGTTTATGATCGCTTAGCTTTTTGATGGATTTTCTTTCATCCTTTTGTAAACAAGCTATTTTTATTTTGCCTAGGAGTTACTGTCAGTGTTGATTTATGTCGTTATATTTGAACATAAATCTCCATCATTTAAAAATTGTTTTGTACATGACTGTTAATGGTTCTAAATTATGAGCACAGGAAGAGCATCTAAAAGCTCCTCATCTTTCCTGTTGTGTTTGTCCCCATGTGAAAATCGTTTGTTTCATTTTTATTTCTGTAACACTATTACTGTGGATCCAGGGTTATGAGTTTAAACTTTCTTTTGGGTTTGTGCCAAAGATCACTCCCTCTTTACCTAGTTTATACAATTACCTGATTTGGGCTGAGGCATCAAAGGCAGCTGGACAGGTTGATAGTCAAATCACTCCTTTGTGTGGCATTCAGTACACAAATTGGCATAAGTTAACTATATCAACTAGCTAGGCTTGAACAGACATTTACCTTTCTCTCTGCTCTCTCCTCTCCTCTCCTCCCTCTCCTCTCCCCTCCCCCCCCTTCTGACATCATACTCCCTTTTTGCAGCTGTATTGTGACTGGGAATTACTGCCAGTGAAAAAAATTAAGAATAAATAAAAGTCATTATATGGCTTTAGCAGTAACTGTAGCTTTCAAGATGTGTTGTCCGTATTTATATTCCGTGATTTACCTGTCATTCCCATTCCTCTGTAACATAAGTTTTGTGCATCTGGATTTTGAGTTAGGTGAATGATTGGGCCAGATCCATTCTGTGGGCCTTGTGTTAATTACTACAGCTGAACAAATTAAGCCATTTTAAGCTAGCTGTATACACACCTGCCAATGGTGAAAGATATGAAATGTGTACAGCTCTTAAAGAATAAAGATTACTGTAAAGGAGGTAGCTTTACAGGAGGATAGAGGTAGCCCTCCTGTATATTTTTTGTTTTAACATTTTCTTGGTTTTTTACAATTAAAAGACTCAATTTCATGTACACTTAGTTGTCCTGCTAATTAACAGGCTTGACATGGTCATGACTTAGTGTATATTTTGTATGCCTGAGATTTTTTCAAGGGATGCCCAGCAGTCAATACAAAGATCAGTAGGACACTATTTGAGCTGTCCTGTTCTGTGATTTAATGGCTAGATCAAGCGTGGGAGCCATTACTGTGCCATCAGTTATCATTTCCTGTGAGCTACCATAAACTGCATCGCAGCTGAAACTTGGGAATTTGTTAAGCAAACCAGCTGTCTTCTGTTTCGATCCATATTGAATAAACAAAGTCACATTTAATGTAATTTGAGTCTTCCACACATTTAGATTTCTTAACAGGTTACCAAGAAATTTTAATGAATTCTGTGTGATTAAATAAAAAATTACATTTCTCACTTTTTGGTGGTTAATAGCGAGAAGGTAATTTCAATTGGTAAATTTTAGTAGCATGTCATATCATTTCCTCAAACATACCATTTCAAAGGACCTTGTCTTTGATAGGGAGTGAATACATGGCACATGATCAGAACTTTTAGTTCATGATGTACTCGGAAGAACATAGTGTGGAAAACACAGTTCAAAGAATTGCAAAACCAGAAATCTGTAAACCAGACTTTAAATTTTTCAGTTGTAATTTTCTAGCCTTCCACTTGAATGCCTGGGTGCCTACTGAGGAAGTATTATATGTACTGGCTGTTGTGTACAATTGTACATTTACAAATATTAAATCAAGTAGTATTTATGCTCTACAGGAAAGTGGTTTACAACATATACAGTTAAATTTTACTTTAATGATTATTTCAGGTATGGGTAGTATTCTGAGTGAAAGTCATTAAATGAGGCACCCAGTAATCTACTTTATTCTTCAGTTCTACTGTAGAAATAATCATAAGCAGGTATTTAGATTACCTGCTTCTTTGCTATATGCAGTATACAAGATTTCTGTGGCCTTTTTTCAAAAAGTAAGAACGTATGATAAAAGATCTAATTCTTCATGATTTGGGTCATTGAAATAGATTTCCTTTCATTGTGTGTGGTTATCAAGAATATTAAACAACTCACTGGGAGACTAGTGCTGCCTAAATAAATAGACCTACTTGGAAAAAAAAAAGGTGCATTCATAATGAGTAATGCTGTAACAATTCTGGTTTTGTTTGAGACCTTATAGGGATCCAGACCCTTGTGACTTCAAAGAACATACCCCATTTTGGTACTCTTTCAGGAGCTGGATTTGGGTCATACAGTGCGGTAGATAACAATGAAGAGAACAAGTTATCTAATCTTCTGCTGTTGCAACAAATGCAGCTTATTGGAAGGACTCAGTTGCCACTTACAATTATTTTAAATTTCATTACTGTAGTTCTGACTTTTAAATAAAATAAGAAATAATTTTCATCTGTTTCAATACTGATTTCTATGTTGCAGGACTAGGTTATTAAAAATACTATATTTTGTTGGCAAGGAAAATGTTTTATATTAGAAGAGTGTTCTGTACTATTGTCATGGTTTAACCTCAGTCAGCAACTGAGCACCACACAGCCGCTCCC